AGTGGTAAAGAACTTGCCTGCCAGTGCAGGAGACATAAGAGATGAGGTACCATCCCTGGATCAGGAAGATCTCCTGCAGGAGGAAATGGCAACCGACTCCAATATTCTTGCCTGGAAAATCCCATGGACAGAGGAGCCTGGTGGGCTATAGTTCATGGGATGGCAAAAGAGTTGGACATGACTGAAGCGACTTAGCACACACACATATAAATTGTGTGTATATGTTTATATATATATATATATATACATATACATTATACATACATATATATTATGAAATACTACTCTGCCATAAAAATAATTTTGCCATTTAAAACACCATGGATGATTTTAGAGGGTATGACAGAAGATGAGATGGCTGGATGGCGTCACCGACTCAAAGGACATGAGTTTGAGTAAACTCTGGGAGTTAGTGATGGACAGTGAGGCCTAGTGTGCTGTGATTCATGGGGTCGCAAAGAGTCAGACACGACTGAGTGACTGAACTGAACTGAACTGATACTTAGTGAAATATTAACATATCAGACAGAGAAAGAAAAATACCATATATCAGTTATGTGTGGAATCTAAAAAAATTAAAAAGTAATTGATATATGAAAAATAGAAACAAATTCACAGATACAGAGGACAAACTAGTGATTATCATCAGGGGAGGGGATGGGGAACATGCATGCAGGAGGGATCTACTGAGTCCAGCATTTTACCACCTAATGTCATTCCTGATATGGGCAGGAGGATGTCTGGTGACTTTACAATACCTACACCTGAATCTAACACTGGACCATAACTTTGGTACTCAAGAGTGGAGCACAGATCAACTCATAATTTCTGGGCCCATTTAGACCAATGAATCAGAATTGTTTCTGAACAAGATTCCCAAGTGACTCCTACACATGTCGATGTTGGAGAAATTCCAGTCTAGAATAGTTTTTCTTCTTACTGTTCACACTTGTTATGGATAATTCTATGGTGGGGGCCACCCTATGCATTGTAGGATTTTGAGGAGCATCCGTTGCTTCAAACTGCTAAGTGGTACTTCCACAACTGTGACAACCAAAATGTTCTCTAGACAATGTCAGATGTTCTCTGGAGGCAAATCACCCCTGTTGAGATTCACTGGACTAGAGCATGAGAATTAGAAATATCTTGAGATGGTTCCAATCAAATCAAACACCTTTCTCAGTTCATAGCTATGGCAGATCACTTAACCCTTTGGAGCTCTAATTTTGCAAATGTAAAGTGAAGTTAGTAATAGTACAGACCACAAAGAATGGAATTTTGTAAAAATAAGACACTACAAATAAAATTCTAATCTTTGCACATGGTGCATAAATATATCTTATAATTAAAAAACTTATTTAAAGAGGAGTAAGTGACAGCTCTAAATTATAGCTTCATGTATAAATCTTCTGGTTTGTCAAAATCATATGAAACCAAGGATTATATATGGTTTTGTAGTAAACAACACACCTCTCTCCTATTGAATGGGGTCACCGGTCACCAATGTTCTAGAGATCCGGAGAGGTTGTTCCCTGGAACAAGACAATACTTCAGAGGTCCATGGAACCTAGTCAAGACAGTTTCTTCTGTTGCAGATTAGGAGAAAATATTAACTAACCCCTTTGCAAAGAGGTTAGACCTCTAGAAGGAAGGACAGTTTGTGAGAAGAAGTTAACAAAAACTAGATTCTCCTCACTTCTAATTGGTCTTCTGGGAACAGAGAATCAGTAGGAAAAATTTGCTGTCTATCCAGGTCAATGTCCCACAGGTAAGTGATGTACTCAGTGGTGGGACTAACAATGGGAAAAGTGCCTAAGGAGAAGACATAGGAGGTTGTAAATATCTCCTCAGCCTATACAACCTTCAGCGAGACAAGACATGGTTTTTGCTTCTGGAGTTCCAAGGCTGCCTGGTAACAGAGCTTCAATCTTTATCATCAACCATCCACAGAGGAACTCAGATATCTACCCAGGGATTTTCCTCTTATAGACCCCATTCAGGTGAGTCTGAGAGTTCAATAGATACTTCAGGGAAGGTTCAGCAAGAATGAAAGTGGAAAACTTTTACCTGAAGTCAGTCATCTGTGAACTTAAATTCTTGAAAAGCCAAGATATTTGCCATATTTGTTTGCTACACTGATTAATTAACTTATGATTCATTTAATGTTATAAAGAGAAATATCTGTTGGACTCAGCAACACAAGGATTGTTGATGACAATTAAGAGATGGGAATGGAAAGTCAATGGGTGAAATTGAAGAATTAGAAACATACAGTGGTTCCAATAAATTATTACTTATTAGCAGGAGTTTGGCAGTTAAGGGGAGGAGAGAAAAAAGTACTAGCTTTCTAGGTATGTGCAGTGAAATAAATGCATTTTTCAGATTTTTATGATAAGATGTATTTGAGCAGTTTCTGTATTTATTATTATGGAAAGAACCAGACTCATGGGCATAGATACTATTTTGCAACAGTGTTCTTGAGACATACACTTCATAGTATCTTCTCTCATGTTGGACGTTCACATTAAAAAGCTATGCTTAAGATGCTCCAGTGGGTATGCTAACAAGCTTTACTTTTGAATTTTTTCTTAGGAAGAGGTGGGGAAGCAATGGAGACATTTGTGAGTTAGAACAACAAACATCAGCCAAATCTCATCACCAGTGATAATCATACACTTTGTAAGAATGAAAGAACTATGTCAATCCTTTACACATATTGATTAAATTTGTCTACTAACTTAGGAGGATGAATACTACTATCCCCACTATTTGAGTAAGGACATTAACATTTAGAATGGACCTTTAGTCTCACTAAGTCCATACAGCAAATTCGAGATTCAAACAGTGGTTTTCTGATTCAAAAGTTTGGCACTTAAAACCATTCAGAAACTCTGTTACCATTTATGTTTTAAAATTCTTATCTCATCTATTACAGCACATTGTCTGTGTTCTGATGTAAATTGTGGGTTAATTCCCCTTGTTCATTTTTCTAGTGAGATGGTCAATCAATAAGGTGTCTTGACATCCTAAAGATATGATTCCTTTCTCCTTTGATAGATTGCTTTAGCCTGCATTACTAGATATTCTGCAGCAAAGGTATATAACTGGGTTTGGAATGCTGACACAAATAAGGAAGATTTTTTCTCATCACAATCTCTTGGAGATCACCTGAGCTTATTAGATATTATTTTGTAGATGAAGGGGTTCATTATGGGGGTTACCATGGTGTAGGTCATTGAGGTCATCAGACTCATCCTAGAGGATGAAATGCCTGCAAAACTGAGGTTTACATACCCCATTGCCTCTGCTTTAGAACAAGGCAACTACAAAGAGGTGAGACCCTAAGGTAGATCGTGTTTTCCTCCATATGTCCATTTCTGTCTTCTCTTTCTGTTTTTAGAAATGCTTTCTATTTTTCTTTTAATGAAAGATACAAAAATGTCATATTAAATGAAGTGTTCTTGGGATGCTTGCCAACTAGATTATGGGTGCTATTTCTAGATTCTCTAGGGAAAAGATCATATAATGTTGATAAATTCCCTTCATCAATCTTTTCAAAATTATCATGGCTGGAAGTGATAAGATCCAGGAAATAACAAGGCAAATAAGTGATAATATGCTGTACCTGGTCTCTGTGTATAAATATGTGTGTGTGTGTGTGTGTGTGTGTGTGTGTCTGTGTCTGTGTTGTGGTATGTGGTGTATGAGCAGTTCTCTGGGCAGTGGTACTTAGGTTTATGTACTCCAAACAATGACCTTGTAGCTTACTTACTCTATTTTACAGTAGAAACTAACATAGCATTTAAAGCAATTATACCCCAATTAAAAAAAAAAAAGAATATTGTAGTGCATGAAGGAAGTCAGGAACCAAAAAAAAAAAAAAAAAAAGATACAACCAGTCAGTTGGAGATAAAAAGGGGATTCATTTCTATTTATAGGAATCATCTGAAGCAAAATTAAAAATGTAAAAAGAACACTGTTTGAATGAAGGTTCAGCAGTAGCAGCAGGAAGTTCACATTGTTCCTCAGCATTCTCTAACATCATCTCTTCTTGCTCATTCCCCTCCATACTTTGGCTTCCCCTTGAGTCTTGACTATGTGAGATAAGCACAGCTGAAACATCCTCTCAGCCTTTAGACTGACTCCTCCCCCAACAGGGTGCATTTGTCCCTCAGATAAGCTGATGTGTCTGCATCATCTTCCTTCAAGCCTCTGTTCAAATTTCTGTTTGTTTGCAAGTCTTGAACTCCTAGTAAAATGTAGCAGCACCATTCACTCTATTTTATACTTGTATGTTTTTTCCATAGCATTTATCACAGTAAGACATGGTAATTTGTTTCTTAATTAGTTAATTCACATTTTTATTCATTATTGTGTTGTGGGGAGTTTTGTTCTTGGCAGTCTATACTTTTACCCTAGAAGCTGGCATTCAACATAAATTCCTCAGATGCATGAAAGAATTTTGCATTAAAACAGTCACACATGAACTCTTGGGAGGGAATCTGAATTTTAGGATGTTATAATCACAGGTGTCACAGAAGATCCTTTTATTTTTAATTCTTTTATATATTTATTTTTGATTGGAAGATAATTGCTTTACAGTACTGTGTTGGTTTCTGCCATATATTGACATGAATCAGCCATGAGTATATATATGTTCCCTCCCTCTTGAATCTCCCTCCCACTTCCCACCCCATCCTACCCCTCTAGGTTGTCACAGAGCACTGAGTTTGAACTTTCTGCATCATACAACAAACTCCCACTATCTGTCTGTTTTACAGCTGGTAATGTATATGCTTCAATGCTACTCTCTCAATTTGTCCCACCCACTCCTTCCCCCACTGTGTCCACAGGTCTGTTCTCTCGCAGGGTATCAATGGAGACCCAGACATAGAAGATCCTTTTTAAAATGACTACAAATATAATACATAGCATTTTACACGTGTAGAAATTAATGATGTAATTATATATTTTTTTCCCCTAGTAGTGACCACCACCATATGGTACTGGGCAATGGTACACAAATTTCAAAATTTCTTCTTCTCGGATTATCAGATGAACCAGAACAACAGCCTTTAATATTTGGGCTTTTCCTCTCCATGTACCTGATCACCATGTTTGGAAACCTGCTCATCATCCTGGCTGTCAGCTCAGATCCCTTCCTCCACACCCCCATGTACTTCTTCCTCTCCAATCTGTCCTTTGTGGACATCTGTTTCACCTCCACCACCATCCCAAAGATGCTGCTGAATATTCAAACTCAAAGCAAAGTCATTACCTACGAAGGTTGCATAGCCCAGATGTATTATTTCCTTCTCTTTATACAATTGGACATCTTTCTCCTGACAGTGATGGCCTATGATCGGTTTGTGGCCATCTGCCATCCTCTGCGCTACACAGTCATCATGAACCCTATTCTCTGTGGAATGCTGGTTCTCATATCCTGGGTGATAGGTGCTCTGAACTCTTCATTACAAAGCTTAATGGTGTTGAGGTTGTCCTTCTCTACAGTCTTGGAAATCCCCCACTTTTTCTGTGAATTGAAACAAGTGATCCAACATGCCAGTGGTGATACCTTTCTTAATAATATTGTGATGTATTTTGGAGTTGGTTTATTTGGTGGTGTTCCTCTTGGTGGAATACTTTACTCCTACTCTAAGATAGCTTCTTCCATACACAGAATCTCATCAGCTCAGGGGAAGTATAAAGCCTTTTCCACCTGTGCGTCTCACCTCTCAGTTGTCTCCTTATTTTATTGTACAGGCTTTGGAGTGTACCTTAGCTCTGCCACTGTGCACAGCTCATACTCCAGTGCAACAGCTTCAGTGATGTACACAGTGGTCACACCCATGCTGAACCCCTTCATCTACAGTATGAGGAATAAGGACATAAAGAGGGCTCTAAAAAAGTTTCTTTGGAAGGTCAGTATAAAAGTGCAACTTGTCCTGGTGCTAAAGAAATGCCTGTGAGTACAGGACTCAAATATTGGAGGCAGGAATAGCAAATATTTGTTCAGATTGTGAAATAGCATTTGTTCCTTATATTAACTGCTTAGTATATCTATTTCTTTAATTTCAACTTCTGTATACAAATCTAGGTAACTCACTTGATTAAGCTTTTAGTCTGCATGATATATGAAGTCTTCCATTTTTCTGTTTCCTATTTTCCTTAAGCTTGTCCCAAACGTGGATGAGAAATTTTTGGAAATTTCCATTTACTTATTGATGTACACAGTGTCAGTGATCACATGAGAAGTGGTTTATTGTTGGGGTAAAATATTGTTTCTTGTGATTACATTTTCTATTGAATTATCTTTCTGCTTCTTAAGAGCTTCCACTACAGCCTACAAATATGATTCCTTCAAGTACTCTAAATGGAGTGTCTCCCACAACTCTAAATTTTGCTGTAATCAGTTAAAGTGTAGTGATAGTAAATGTATATCTTCCTAACTATTCACGGTTAGGTTTGAGGGAACCTCAGTAGAATCACTTGTAATTATTGTATATAAAATAAACTTGAATCATAGTAATATTGTGTGTGATCACTCTCTCAGTTGTGTCTGACTCTGCAACCACATGGAGACTAATACTGTAGTCTGCCAGGCTCCTCTGTCATGGGATTTGCCAGGCAAGAATACTGGAGTGGGTTGCCATTTCCTACTCCAGAGGATCTTTGCAACCCAGGGATCAAACCCACATCTACTGTGTCTCCAGCACTGGCAAGTGGGTTTTACATACCGAGCAACCTGGGAAGCCCCTGTGTTATACTCGATCTTATCCAGAAGGTGGAGAAGTGAAATGCTATTCAAATATCAGAACAAATGACCAGAATTAGGAGCAGCATGTTGTTATAATTCCCCTCAGCTCTGTTCTTTTTGATTATTGTATCAGTTAACTGTTACAGGGCTTCCCTCGTGGCTCAGATAGTAAAAAAATCTGCCTGGAATGTGGGAGACTGGGGTTCAATCCCTGGGTTAGGAAGACCTCTGGAGAATGGAATGGCAACCCACTCCAGTATTCTTGCCTGGAGAATCCCACGGACAGGAGCCTGGCAGGCTACAGTCCATGGGATCTCTAAGAGTCCAACATGACTGAATGACTAATACACATGAGAGTTAGCTGTTATTCATAACAAGTCATTCTAAAAGTAAATCATTAAACATAATGCATTTGCTGTCAAATGGGATTATATGATAGGGAGTTGACTGGAGTTATGATTATCTCTTCTTGGATCTCTTATCAACTGCTAGGCTCTATGTTGTGTTTTTTAAGGTTTATCCATGACGAACATGATGTTGTGCTGCTCCTCTCTCTTGAATCACTTTGTGCCAACTTATTCCTTTTTTATATGTAGGTCAGTCTTTAGTTTACAGGAAATAATTGGGATTATCAAATATTTATTGTTTTATTTAAATTTCTCTGTTCCAATGTCCATATATGACACTTTGCTTTCTACCTAGTTAGAAGAGTTTTCTCTCACCAATTTTAGGTGTGACTCAAAACATATTCTCTGTATGCTACCCTGAGCCATGCCCCACCAGAGGATTTCAAATTCTTCACTAACTCATTGGAGTATGAGTGAGTGAGTGTTAGTTGCTCAGTTGTGTTTGACTTTTTGTGATTCCATGGACTGTAGCCTGCCAGGCTTCTCTATCCATGTAATTCTCCAGGCAAGAATATTGGAATGGGTTGCCATTCCCTTCTCCAGGGGATCTTTCTAACCCAGGGATCGAATCTGGGTCTCCTGCATAGAAGGCAGATTCTTTATCATCTGAGCCACCAGGGAAGCCCCCACTGGAGCACAATTAGACACAATAAATCACACATTTTAAATGTATGCCGTTTGCTGAATTACAAAAATTTACTGTACACATTACATGGTTCCATTTTTGTGTAGTTTGAATAATTGCACAATAAGTTTTAATTTATTTGTAAAGTTTTTGTTAAAAATGTAATTTCCTTGAGCCTCAGTTTTACTTATGTCAGAAGGAAATGTGGGATAATAAATCTTAACTTCATATGAATGTTGTGAGCAGTGAGTGAGAAGTACAGAAGTACTTTGCTGAGTCCACAGACCATGTTCAAGGTTAGGAATATATGTACATATATATTTGCCTGCATCTGTCTACAGATTTCTCTCAAATAAACACACTCACACATATATGCATGGGCGACACATTCTCATTTGGAATCCCATTTCTTGTGTTGAAACAAAACTTAAGAGAAAGTTAGAGGGACAGCAGTGAAAAGAATGAATGAATTAACATAAATTAGAAAGAATGTAGAACTGCTGACAGCAAGATTTAAAGTAGAATGCATGACCTTAATTTTATTAATAATAATGGATTACTTTCCCCACCTTGAATTCACAATGTCCTCAAAATTATGGCCACAATTACATATAGGCAAAATGAAATTCTCTTTATTAGCTAATGGGGCAAAAGATCTTCAAAGGGACCCAAATTTCTCCCTCTGTTTAAGGTAGAATTTCAGCACAAAAACGCTGTACCTAAAGGAAGCTCACTGACTGAGTTGAAAGTCTTTTAAACTCAGCTTCTAGGAACAACATCTGATTGGACAAGTATCTGTATTAGATTCCAGTATTCTTGCCTGGAAAAACCATGGACAGAGGGGCCTGGTGGGCTACAGTCCATCGGGTCACAAAGTCAGACATGACTGAGCAACTAACAATACTCTTAAAAATTACCACATTAGCAGATTACAAAGTGTGGTAGCATGGCCTGGGCAGTCTGAGGCAGTGGATTAAGGCTCCAGTCTCTTCAGGGACGGGAGTTCAAATCCCACTGCTGCCATCTCTATGGGCTTCCCTTTTGGGTAAAGAATTTGCCTGCAATGTGGGAGACCTGGGTTTGATTCTTGGGTTGGGAAGATCCCCTGGAGAAGGGAACGGCTACCCACTCCAGCATTCTAGCTTAGAGAATTCCATAGTCTGTATAGTCCATGGGGTTGCAAAGAGTCGGACACGTTTTAGCGACTTTCACTTTCACTTTCAGCAGGTTATAACACATATCTAAAAGTTCTATAAGGTCAGAAGCCTAAAAAAGTTCTCACTGGACTCAAATTATGATGTCTGCAGGACAGCAATCCCTCTAAGTGCTGCAGAACAGCATGCATTAAATTTCATATTTTACTTCTAGTGGACGCCAGCCTTCCTTGGTTTATGGTCTTTCCTCCATATTTAAACTCAAGTGCACAGGCATTTTGAAATGTCTGTCTGACTCTAATTACTCTTTCTCTGTCTTCCTCCATAAGAGAACTAAATGATTATGTTAGACCAACTTGGGTATCTGCGCTAATCTGATATCAAGATCACTGATTAGCAAACATACTCCATCTGCTGTTGTAATTTCCCTTGCTATGTAAGCTAGAATATTCAAAAGTTCTTGTGATTATGACACAGAAATCTTCAGGGGGATTTTATTCTTTCTACTAAAAAAGTCTTTTTTCAGATACAACTTATTTGATGTCACTCAAGAATCCTTATAAAATAATCAAACAGAATTTACTACTGCATATAAAGTGAGTGAAAAAGATTCTTTCAAAATTACATACATGGAAGACTTGGTGAAGACTTACAGATACTTGTACCTGGATATAAAACAGAGCCACTTCCTTGCTACTCAAACTGTGATCCACAGACCAGGACCTGCAGCATCAGGAACACGTAGGAAACTGTTAGAACTGTAGTGTCCCTGACACCCTGAATCAGACCTGTTGAATCATAATTTGCATTTATATTATAATCTTTGGTGATTTGTAGGAGCACTGAATTTAGAGAAGTGCTAGTTTAGAATCAATTTTTATACCTTTTCACTGATGGTATTTGGGCCAGTATAATTATTTGTATTGGATGCTGTTCTGGGCATTACAGGTGTTCAGCCCAATGTAGCATCTCTTTAGACATTGCAAAATACACCTAGTTGCAAAATTTTCTCTGATAGAGAATCACTGCATTGGAGTTTGTGAACTAAAAGCATTCTGATGATCAAGACCCTGAATCAAGACTTCATCCCTTTTTTGATTTATACTTTTGAGCAGAACATTAAACACCCTGAGTCTCATTTCTATAATGGAGAATGAAGTAAAAAGAGGACTACATCACAGGATGAACTTTTATAATAATTAAATCAGACAATCCCTATAATGTGCTAAGTTATATTATGCCATATGACAATATCTAAATTTGTCTTATGATTACAAATATTGATAATGAAGTACCAAATGACAGCTCATAACTTCTGATGTACATGAAAATCCTAATTGTGTTGGCAAAAATTGTTTGGCAGCCAAGAACACAGTGTTTAAGGTTTTATATGAAAGGTCAATGCTTTCATACTCATAAAATAATTTTTAGAAATATCAGGAGCTATGTTTTTACCACCAGCCAAAGCTTGGAAGATCCAAGGGATATAATCAAGAGAGAATTCTTAGCCTTAGCCTTTGAGAAAACTTAATTCTGGCTACAATAAGGTGCTGGGAGGTTTACACCATTGGGCATAGGAGAATTAAGGAGAAGGAGTAATAAAAACAGAATTCACCTGCATTGTAACCTGGTCTCAGGAACAGAGAATAAAAAGGAAAATTTTCCTTTCTGTCCAGACTCATGTCCCTAGGGAAATCATGTTCTGAGTGTGGGGATTACAGCAGAAAGATGCCTAATGAGAAGATGTGTGTGTTAGTTGTTCAGTTGTGTCCAGCTCTTTATGATCCCGTGAACTGTAGCCTACCAGGCTCCTCCATCCACGCAATTCTCCAGGCAAGAATGCTGGAGTGGGTTGCCATTCCTTTCTCCAGGGGATCTTCCCAACCCAGGGATCGAAGCCGGGTCTCCTGCGTTGCAGGCAGATTCTTTACCATCTGAGTCACTAGGGAAGCCCAAATGAGATAAAGTGAGCTATAAATCTTCTCTGCTGCAGACCCCTCAGTCTTAGAAACCTGGATGCCACAGA